TGTCCTTGGAGTTGTGCAACTGAGAACCCCATGCCAGCTCCTCCTGAGACCCATCTCTACTCAGACTAACTCACAGAGGCCTGGAAACCAGCAGGGGAAGACTAATGACAAAGTAACGGATTCCCATGGATGCTGGTTTGGATGCACTGGGTTTTATTAATTTGTAATTTGTTTAGTTTTATGGGGGAGGTGATAATGAGTGTTTTTGTTTTTTTGTTTTTTCTTTTGGTACCAGGGGGATCGAACTCAGGACCTTGCACTTGCGAGGAAGGTGGCAGAACCACTGAACTAAATCCCCAGCCCAAGTGTTTTGTTTTGTTTTGTTTTGTTTTAACTTGAATCTGTCTGTGCTACAGAATACTCAGGTAAACAGGTGTGATCATGTCTGGATAAAATTACTAAAATCATTCTTTGACCTGCTCCTGAATTTTTTTTTATTAGTACATGTTTGCAGTACATAATGATCACCTAAATGTTGTATTTAATAAACATGCCCAATTTTGATTACCGAAAATGCCACCAAATTATCTTTTACCATTAGTAAGAGACCTTCTTTTGTATCAAAGATTCTAGCTACACTTTTTTTTTATACTGGGGATTGAACTCAGGACTTTGGGCTTGTGAGGCAGGTGTGGTACCACTGAGCTAAATCCTCAGCCTGATTCTAGCTACACTTTGGAAATAGAGAGGCAGGGGAGGATATCAAAGTTTCATTTTCTGAAATGCCAAAAATAGAGGACAAACACACGAAGGGAGCCGCCGTCAACTCTCCAGAAGGCTATCTCAGACCACTCCTCTTTCTCACCCCTGCCTTGCCATGTGTTTCACAGCACAGGCAGCTACTCAAGAGCAGACCATGGGATTTTTTTGTTTTGGCCATTCATTCATTCTTTTATCTTTCTCACTCACTAGACTGTACATTCCATGAGAACAAGAATTTCTATCCAACACATTCACTAGCTCATCTCTGGTGCCTAGAAATGTCTGGCACTTGGAAGATACTAATAAACATCTGTGCAAGGAGAGAATAAACATGGAGCACTTCTAACAAGCAGTGTTCTCTTTGGTCACTGTTTATTAATTTCATATTTTTATGCCTCTCAACTGCAGGCTTAGATTTTAGTTAAGTATCTTGGATTATTCCTTCATCTTACACTAGATAATTCTTGACTTTGTCCTGTCACCGAAAGTGAAAAACCTTGATAATACCTTCTGACACCATGTCAGCCTCTAAGTAAATTGCTTCTTCTTATAACACATCTGCTTCTCCCTTCCTTAGCTGCAGTAATATTCTAATTACTCTGTGCTGCAGTCTCCAAGAAAGGGAGAGTTCCAGAAGACAGTTGTTCTTCTCTTCCTCATAAAAAAAGCACTTGCGATCAAAGGTGCTATAAGGTCTCAATGGGATGTGTATACACACACACGCACGCACGCACACACGCATGCACACGCACACATGCCTCCAAGCTTTGTAATGTTCGCAGAGAGGTAAGGGCATGGCTGGGAAGCTGTGCGAAGAGGAGCCCCATGCAATCTCACAGGACTCCCAGACCTGATTTCATAGACAACACTTCAGCAGAGCTGAAAATGGAACAGATTGTGGGAAGGAGGTTTCCAGAGATACAGGGTGAGTGACAGGAAAAACATCAATCAATACACTTGGTACCTGTGTAAGGCTGGAAACAACTGGTAGTCGTGCTCAGTTTCCCAATGGAATCTTGGGCAACTCAATTAACCTCTTTCTGCCACATTCTCATCACGTGAGAACTAAGTACAGCAACCTACCTAGTGGAGATTGCACAGGGAGTTGCTAATAAATATGAGTAGACAGCTATATGTATGATACCTAATAATATTATGTTAACGAGCATGAAATCATGGGCTACAGGGGACTCAAGAAGTCAATACAGTCTTTTCACATCTGACCACAACTAAGCCATTCCAGAGAGATTAGATTTAAAAGATGCCCACCAAAACAAGTCCCTGAAGCCTCCCCTTTGCCAAAGATGCTTTCTTACATTTCAGATGCCCCGAACCTGCAGCAGTAGTATGCTGTGCTCCTCCTCTCCCTGTGTGGAAAAGAGACCGGCAGCTGTCGTCTTGCTAATAGGAAGCTGTACCCTTCAGAGAGTGTCAGGTAGTAGCCCGCTAGCCATCAGCACAGATATCAAGTCAGGTGAACCTAGGTCTCCATTGGACTCTACTCCATCCATGTTGACTACATGACTTTGAGCAAATCACAGCCTTCGCTTCTGCAACCCTCAGTTTCTTCTCCATTGACTTAGTCCTGGTGTCAGGACTAAGTGATCAAAACAAGTCAGTCACTTCTCATAGTGCCTGGCTCAGGATGGTATAAAAAATAGTGACATTATTTTCTAAGCTGAATAAGCCTGGTCTCTAATTTTTATTTACTCGTAATTCTAACTTTTAAAATGTTAATTGTCTTTGTTTCTGTCTTCTGAACTCATTCTAAATTCCCTGTTTTTAATTTTTTATATAGTGTTAAAAACTGTAGGAACATGCTAGCTATGCTGAGTACCTAGGGAAGATTCTATCCCAGACTTCTTCTGGGATGGTGATGGCCTCTCCTAGGGTGTCTCTGGCTTCTCCAGTTTTGCCCTGAGTGTCATAAAATCCAACCATGGCCCACAACATTGCTCTGAATTTGACATCTCTGTGGTTTCCAAATCCTCAGGGCACACAGTCCAGGGCTGTGTAAAGCTATGTACACTAGGTTCACAGATTCCAAAAAATAAAAAGTCACTTCTGTAACACTGTGTGTGTGTGTGTGTGTGTGTGTGTGTGTGTGTAAGAGAGAACAAATTGGAGGGGGAGAGAAGGAAGGAAAAGATTAAGGAGGAAGAGGAGGAAGAAGGAGGAGAACAGAAGAGGTGAAGAGGAGGAAGAGGGAGAAGAAGAAGAGGAAGAAGGAGAAGAATGAGGAGGAATACAGGAAGAAGAAAAAAGAAAGAGGGGAGGGGGAGAGGAAGAAGAAGAAAGAAGAAAGCAATAGCAGTATTAGTAGCAGTAGTGTTTTCTATTTTCTCCATGTACTTTCTCCATACCAAGCAGGGCTAGGTTTGCTTATAATTACTTTCCTTAGGGGACTTGGGGTTTGCTAAATAGCCAGAGGGGCTTAAGGAAGCTTTTCTGGTAAACTCAAACCCACTGAAGGGATTTGAGAAGCAATTGAATGGAAAGGAGAAGTGACCCTCTTTCCCCTAGCCCAGGGCCAGTCCCTAAGGAAAGAGCTGCCTGACCCTCCACCATAGCACTTGGCAATAGCCAAGCACAGAAGGAGTAGGCTATGCAGTGTCTGTGGACTGTCAGTATCAACAGATTCCCATACCTTACACATAGTTATGGGTCAGAGCCACAGGAGTTGATGGGACCAGAGTTTGGAGAAATCATACACATGTGGGTGGTAGTGAGAGTGTCTAGTGAAAAGTTACCCCCTGGGCACCCTGCAGACCCCCCTAGAAGAAGGAGATTACACCTCTAATGCTCCCCAGAACCTGAGTGCATGGAGTGAGACTCAGACCTACTGAACACGGGGACACTGAATTCAGCAGTCACATTCACACTGCTAACCTGCTCTGGTCCTGGCAGAAGCCTGCAAGATAATCATGTGCTCTAAAGCTCTGACTGAAAAGGCTCAGAGAGGTGAAGTGTCTGGCCAATGTCTCTGATCCCAAGTCTGCATACTTCTTACCATGCTGTGTTCCTCCCAGTATCTTTAACCTAACTTTGAAATCCAGCATTTCCAGGTGAGACTGCATTCTAATGTGGAATTGAAGCCACTTTAAATAAGTGGGCTTATAGGATACAAAATAGAATCTGCAGCATGCTTACAGTTAAATCACAGAAAGAACACTCAAAGCTATGAATAGAAAAGAGACTCAAGAGGCATAACAGAAAAATGGTAAAGACAATTGGGTTCAGGTGGTCGGCAGATTATTTTTCTACCTTTCCCTACATTTGAAATTTCCTTTAATGAATATACTTCATGCTTACAATGTAAAAAATACAAGATTAATAAGCTATCTTTTATTAATTACATTGGTATATTTAAGGTAAACAGTACAATGACATTCATCATTGGAAATTTGCACCTTTATATAATCCACTTTGGTTCTTATTTTTTCCCCATTTCCCTACCCTCCCTTCAACCCCTCCACCCCTCCCTATCTACAAAGACTTTGTTTCCATTTTTTCTTTTTCTCATATTAATTTCATTCCCTTCTTTCCTTTCCCCTACCCCTCCCACTTCACCTTTCCCTTTGCCCCTTTTCTTCTATTTCACATTATCTATTATACCTTTTAGTCCTTATTTACACTTTCAGTTTCTCACACTAGAGAAACTATTCAGTATTTACACGTGCGTCCTATTTATTTCACTTAAGAGTATCACCTCAATGTGCATCCATTGAGCGACAAATGTCTTTAGTTTCTTTATGGCTGAATAAACTATTTTTTTCAAGTAGCCTGGGAGTCAAACCACTCATGCCAGAACAGAGAAGCCTCCTTCCCAGGACATGGTACTACTCCCTTCATCTCCTGACCCATGGACAGAGGACCTGGTTTTTGAGTCAAATTGTGCAGGGTGTCATCGATTCTGTGGGTTTAACCAAGGCAATGGCAGGAACAACTTCCATGTTTTGACATTAATCCCATTTTTTGCCCTGAAGATACCTATTCCGATTCAGAGTGGCAAATTACAGAAGTAATGAATATAACTTTACAATGAGCTCTAAGTCTTCCTTAACGACCTTACACTGGTCTCTGAGAGAACTTCTGCCTGCACTGTCTGAACACATAACTTGGAGATAATAAAAAATCCAGAAGATCATCTGTCACAAAGGGAGGACAATAGCAAGGGTCCACTGTCCTGCATGTGGCTCTCCAGGTCATCCAGGCTTCTTGGGTTCAGTCCCACCTCACAGGATCTGTGGAGAGGGCCCAGAAGCCACCTAGCATATCTTCACACAGAATGTACTCACCTTCACACAGCCCAGTGCTCTCCAGGTAAAATTGGGCTCTGCACTGGGACAGACACTCGCCGGAGGGGACAGAGGTCCCCAAGAGCTGTCCAACCTGCAGTCCTGCCTCAGGGTTCTTACACTCGGTGCAGTGAGAGGGCTCAGGACCCACACAAGTCTGGCAGGAGGCATGGCAAGCTGCACATGGAACAAAAGGCAGAAAACCCAAAACTCATATAAATCCTGCAACTGACATGAGTCCCTCCTCAAGTCAATACTACCTCCCAAAGTGTGCCAGGCACATCCTCTCAGATGTGGGTTTCCTGGTGCTCTATACAAAGCATGGGGGTGGTGATGATGTATGTGAGAGGGAAGGGGAAGGCCGTATAACTAGTCACAGCTCTCAGGGCCATATAGCTAGTTGAAGCTCTCCTGCAAGGGCTGACAGGCTGGATCACAAAAATCTAGCACGTTGGACTATAGTGGACTCGCTGAATACCTATTTAACATTATGTCCTGGGTCTTTATCGAAGATTTTAGAAACATTCATTCAAAGCCCATTACTGTATCTTTTGCAAAGGTGGTTGTTGTGTTACTGTCTATTATGTCATCCATTACACACTAGGGGGAAGGGCTGCCTTTGTAGACAAGAAAGAGGCTTCCTTTGAGCAGCAATGAAAATTTCACAATCCATAACAGTGCTTTGTTTTCCCTGGTGACTGGTGAAAAAAATCAAAGCCAAATACCATACTAAAAACTACCTATGCCCACATTTTGATACAATTAACTCTCCTGTACTCTACAAGATTCTCTAAATTTTCTTTTTCAAAATACTTTTGCAGCTTTTCTGTTTTAAATACATTTTTCTTGTAGCTATTCTCAAACTCTTCTCTAAGGTACTCTAGGTATAAATATTTCACTTAATGAAAGTGTTTGTCCTTGATGATCCAGTTTGAAAAGCCTTAAATGCTGCACCCACCCAGTGAGCCCAGAGCCTTTTCTGCAAATAGCAATTTAAGGTTTTCCATTTCTTGCAGCCCAGAGGCATTGCTAGTGACTCCCAGTTTGCTCACAGTGTCATTAACAAAAACAAGTTCTTCAGAGAGAAGGAAATGAAGTCTAGGAAAGCATTAGCAATGCTAGGGGAGTAGAGAAAGAAGACAATCAGAGTTTTATTTTGTCATAATCTATGGTAAAGGAAATAACATTCCCACAGGATGGCCACAAAGATCAGCCACTCTTCAGTGGTATTGCATATTCTATGATTTTTTTCCACATTATCCCTTCACAAAACTATTGTAATGAAAAATGCATATATAGTTGTCCCCAGGAAACTACAGGGCTTGGTTCCAGGACCCCTGCAGGTCCCAGAATCTGTAGATGATCAAGTCCCTCCTGTGAAATGATACAGTGTTTACATATAACCTGCACACAACCCTTTCCTATACTCTAAATCATCTCTAAATTAATTATAACAATGAATGTGACTCCTACACAGCACTTCATTTGCATGGATCATAATGGTCCTCAGTATGTGGCAAATTCAGGTTTTGCACTTGAGAAATTTCTGAAATTTAAAAAAATATTTTGGATTAGTGGCTGACTGAATCCCATGGCCATGGAACCCACAGGGACAGAAGCGGGGGCTCGCTGCAGTGTGTATAGCCACACAAGACACACTAGATGAAATGCTGAGCTGGAAAGTAATATTATTGGAAAAAAATCAGTCTGTCTTTGTGACAGACACTCTCTCAAGAATGATGATGACACCAACATTACCTGTGCAGACCCCCCGGTCAGTGTAGAAGCCTTCTCCACAGATGGGCAGACAGTGACCTTGCTGTAGGGCCTGGGGGTGGATGCAGGCTGTACAGTGTGAGCTTGTGGGTCCAGCACAGCTGGCACATGAGTCATGACAAACTGAGGAAGAGGAAGATGGAAATGTAACAGGTGAGTGACACCAGGATGCATTTCCTGTCTGGACTTGGAAGCCCTCCCGGCACTCGCAGTCCTTGTAGATGTCACATCAGACCAAGGGAAAAGGCATATCAGCAGGAGGTGAGGTTGACGAAATCGCCCACATGGCCCCTCTCTCCCCCCTTTCACCCATGTTCTACCTAGTGCTTACCAGTCAACCTGACTTAGCATTTGCATTATGTGCTTTGTACACAGTGTAATTTTCAATCTTCATAGCATTTTAAGGTAGTTATTATTAACTACATTTTATAATTGGGGAAACTGAGGCCTTGGGAGTTTCAAAAACAGATCTAAGGTCACAGATCTCATTCAGAGCAGGGCTGGGATTTGGTCTCCTTGGATCTAAATCCCATACCACCTGGAGGAGGAGCATGGAAAACCAGTGGCCCTACGAGTTGGGAGCACTGGGATTCTGACCAGGGTCCATTAACTCCTATCTAGTTCTCCCCAGGCCTACTTTCCTCGACACATGCACAGTGAGAAGTTGGACTAAGTGAAAATTTAAGAGACTTCTGGTTTTCATATTCTGGATTCTCTGGCCCTGGTGTTAACAGTGTGGGACTTGTGTGTGTGTGTGTGTGTTTTTGAGACAAGGTCTTGCTAAGTTGGTCAGGCTGGACTAAAACTTGCAATCTTTCTGCCTCAGCCTTGAAGAATGCTGGGATTACAGCTGTACATCACACATGCGTTAACCTTGGGAGGACACCTGGGTTAACAGTAGAGCATTTTGGATTCTAGGAGACAGCTGATGTGAGCACAGATGGGCTGAGCCTTTAGCAGAACCTAGGACAGGGATGAGGTATAGGTTCTAGAGGATAGTGTTCAGGAGCTGGGCAGGGAGTGGGGAGGCAGAATGACAATGGCAGGGTTGAACTTGGGGTGAGTAAAGAGATAAAGCAGGGTTGATATAAAGTTTACCAATGCTGTGAAAAGAATGAATTTTGCTTCACTAACATAGGTTAGTCATGCTTGACAAGCACAAAGGACTGCCTATTAAAGAGGTTCTTGACACTTCAAATGGACCAAATAATCTGTAAGGATGACTGATAGGCAATCATCCACCCATAACTACCACTCACATTCCAAACACACACAGGTTCTATAATGAAACAATGATCCCTTTGACAATAACATTTCTCCATCATACACACAAATTCCCAAATGTGCACCATATAGTAACTTGCATTAAATGCTTTTAGAGGACAAGATGATGATGATAGTGATGATGAGGGGCCATCTCTTACCTTTGCATCTGCCAGCAGCATCAGCATAGTATCCACCGGGACACTCAGAAATGCATTTCCCATCATATAACACCATATTCTCAGGGCAGGTAAGACATCTGGGACTATTGGGACCACAACTCTTACAGGATTGATCACAAGCTAAGAAGAAGAAAACCCCATCAGAGAAGAGCGAGAGTAAGAAATGAAGTTGTAAACTCCATTGTTAACAATGTCCGAGTTGGTACCTATCAGTGAAGCAATCTCACACTCTGGCTGCTCAGGCAGAGTCCTCTCAGCCTACAGCTTTCACAGCTGGAGGAGAACTGAAGAATTATTCGCTGAACTAATCATAACAAACACTCTGAGGCACCCCACAAGTGTATACAATTTAATATGGGATTTACCAAATGGCCTTGGAAGTAGGGTTGCCAGATTTAGCAAATAAAAATGCCAAGTGTCCAGTTAAATTTGAATTTCAGATAAATAATAAATTTTCAGTGTCAGTATGTAGCAAATATCCTTTATTTTACCCTAAAGAGAAATTCAGAACTCTACTAAGCAAGATCACACTGCTAAAATTATATTGAAATTATTATATGGATATTATATTATATTGTCAATTATATTGAGCTTCATACAATTTTCCAGGATCTACTCATTCATTTACCCCTCAAAACATTTATTAAGGTCTGTGTTGTGCTAGAAGTAAAGACACAAAAGTCAAATCAATCTTGTCTCCAATTTAAATGACTTATTAGTCTAAAAGAGGGAAAGCAAATAGATAATATTACAAATATTAAATCACCCAAATTGGTGTGGAGAGACATACTATTTTTTAATAAGTGTGAGGGGCAGGAGTTAGGAATGGTCAAAAAAAGATTCAGAGAAGAAGCAAACATTGGGCACTATTGTGAAAACTGAGTCAACCCAGGCCAGGCTGATTAGGAATGTCACCAAGCATCAAAGTGAAGGCTAAAACCTGGGAAGAGACTGAACTTTTCAGGGAAACAGAAGTTCATTCAGCTAGCAGTGGGAAGGGGCAGGCTATGAAAATCTGTAGCCATGTCTAGGTTCTCATCCTTGGAAGGCACAGAAGCCCCGCAGTTCTGACCATACAGAAACATGGCTGTATTTCTAGATAAGAAAGATCACTGTGGCTGCACTTTAGAGAGTTGTTTGGAGAGGTGAGGAAGGAGAGTGGAGCCCAAATGGAAAACTGTGGCCAGGACCATGGAACTCAATGCTTACGAGGTGGATCAAAGACATGAAGGAGTAGTAGGTATGAGAGCATGGAAAGTGAAAGTGCTTTTTAGATGGCTTCAAGGAGTCAGCCTTGGTGCTACTCACAGAATGCAAGAGGGAGAGGGGTTTAGGGGACTGTGAGGAGCACAGCCAGGATGTGTGGTCCAGGAAGCAGCTAACCTACAGTTCTGGCGCTCAGGAGAGAGTGCTAAAGGTCATCACATACAAGTGGTTGATGAGAGGAAAAATTAGTTGATTTACTCATGAAAAGCATGCAGGGTAAGTCAGAAGTAGGCAAGAACCTAGAGAGCAAAATATCCAACAAAGAAGGTAAAAATTAGTCAACATGACCAAGAACACATCTTTCTGAAGGGGACATATAAGCAGTGCAGCGGCAGAGAAATCAGGGCAGAAAGAAGTTTCAGAAGACAAATCACCTCTGAAAAGGTCTCACTGCACTTAGAACCTGGACTCTAGGTAGCCTGTGCCACACATTTCAGTGGAGTCACTGGACAGAACAGAAGTGGAGGCTCTGACTATGAAATGTTCCTCTAAAGGCCCCTGGTGGTGAACCAAGAGGAAAGAGAGGGAAATTAGAGGGATGAGGGTTGTTTTATCACTTGAACAGTTAAAAAACTCAAGGCAAGTATGGATCCTGGAAAGCATTGTTTTAAAAGCCAAATCTGACTGACTGATGAAAGCATAGCTAGGTAAAAACAAGATGTGCATTCAAAAGTGCAGAGGGACAGAGTGGCCTTGACCAGAGCAGCACAGGGCCTCTCATGCGCAGGAAGAAGGAGGCACAGGAGGGTGCAGGGGGCCGGGTCTGCTCTGCATGCACCAGCTGGTTTCTGCATGAGTGAACACACAGAGAATCGATGTTTCAGCAACACAGAACTGCTGAGATTTATTCTGTCTGTTCTCTTAGTTCACCTACATCCTGTTAACCTCCTAAGCACTACTTCGAGAACTTGAGAAAAAACATGCTAAGTGATGGGGCCAAGGCTCCCTCTGCATCTGGAGGGATTCAGTATCTTCCAGAAGCAAACGAATAGGGCAAGACAGTTTCAGTAAATGGACCAAGCCAATGGCCTTAATGTCAGAGAAAAATAAAGCCACCCCTCAACTCATGACTATAAGAAGAAACAAAGCATTCTATGAGAAGCATTCTTCCCTTCCAGACCCATAAAAACTCCTGAAGTTCCTAATTCTAGAGTCATCTTAGCAGAAATGAATAATCTGTAAGCTAAACAGAATTTCCCAGAAATGAAATATTGCAGGAATTTTAAAAATGGAAACACTATATATTAAACATTGTAAGATATCCCTAAAAGAATACTTAAGAGGATAATTTGTAAATTTAAATAGGATAATTAGAAAGTCGCCTGTTGTCTTCACACTAATCTATAACTTCAATATAAAAATCAATAAAATTTCTAGTTGAATTTTCTTAGGAATTCAATATGTGTACTCCAATAAACAGCTAAGTTAAATTTGAAGAGGAAAGCAAAGGAGACTTTTTCTGATCAGATATGAGATGCTACAGGCAACAGAAATTAGTGAACAATAGTGTAATAATGAATAAGAATAGAAATTTAGATCATGGAACAGCTCAAAAAGGTCCATGTACATATGGAAATTTAACTTATAACAAAGATCAATGGAAACAATTATATTGAATTAATAAATAATGTTGAGAAAACTGGATAACAAAATGGAGAAAAATGAAACTGGATCCCCTTCTGAAGACCATATACATAAATGAACTCAGAAGGATTGACAACCCAAGTTCAAACAAAACTATCGAATTATAGAAGAAAATGTAAAGCAATTGATTTGTGAATTTTAGCAGTAGATATTTTTAAAGACTCAAAAGTAAAACTTTAAAACAAAAAATTATGAATTAAAGATTTTTGTTTAACAGAGGACATCATATTCAAACTTGAAAGAGGATAGGAAGTATTTGCATATTTAAAACTGACAAGAGTTAATATCTATAATATGGCATCAAAGCCAACAGAACTATGGGAAAAGCAAATTAAAAAGCAGCTCACAGAAGAAGAAACTCAAAGTCCTACAGGAGATAAAGAGAGGCTCAAATATATTAATAGTCAGAAAGAAGCAATTAACTGAGATGTCCCTTTATACCTATTAACCAGAAAATATCAAAAGCTTGCTAATGTCAAATGGTGGCAAGGACCTGGACATGAAAGGAGCCTCCTTAGCAGTGTGGATTGCACAGCTATTCTGGGAAGCGATCTGGACTATGTTATCAAAGACAGAACATGCGGAGCAAGAGACCTACAGTTCTGCAAGTTCTTAAAAGCACACAATGTTTCCTGGTGCTCTAAAGCAGTGGTGTGGGGATGGAGCAAGTGGAGGGGCCCATCCCTGGGACCTTGGCTGGGCAGCTGTGAGAACCGCCAGATCGCATAATGTAACAACATGAGTGAATCTTAAAAAATACAGTGCTGACCAAAATCTACAACATCATATAATTTAAGAAAATTAAATATATATGCACTCAAGACAAAAATACCCAGTTTAGATATGCTCAGAAAAACAAAAAGATAGAAGCAGAAGGATGTCCAAGTTGAGCCCAGACTGAGCAAATTAGCAACTCAGTGAGATCATGTTCCAAAATTAAAAACTTCAAAAATGGCTGGGGATGTAACTCAGTGAGAAGGCCCTGGGTTTAATCCTCAGTAACTCAAAATACATAAGTAAATAAAAATTCTAAAAACTCAAAGTGCTTGCCTAGGTGTCAGGTGAGGAAGGGAAGGGAGGATAAAAAGAGAGAAAAAGGAAGGAGAAGAAAGAGGAAGAGAGAGACAACAAAAACCTTGGAACTTGATTTATTATGTTAGTGCAAGTCACAAAAGCCCTTGATAATAGCATAAATACTTGAAAAATGAGGCTTTTCTTTGATGTTCCTCACCCTTTCTAGTCAGTATTTGCAAACTCCAAGACACATACCACAGGTGAACCTGGTCAGGCTAAGTTCCTTCAGGTAGGGGGCATCATGGCTTCTAACAGGCTGTGCTGGATTTTTCTCAGTACTTTACTTTGATATTCCTATAGATATGGGCTGGCTGGTTATAAATTATTAAACCAACACTAGCCATTCTTTATCTTGAATAGCACTAATCTGAATTGGAAATAAGCCACCATTATCAGTATCCCAAGCCTTAATTAACAATCTGATATCAATCAGTGCCTTGGTTCACTGATGTTTTAGAAAACATTTATGGGAACACTTCCTGAAGTCATTTGGTTTAAACTTTGAGAACTTGAACAATTGTATGGAAAGCATAAGCTCCAGTTCTCTTTATTGAAAGGTACACTGGTCCATGGCAATGGCATTGCAAACTCTTGCAAGGTACTAAGTATTCAACGGGTTCAGTAATTACTTGTTGATAAACAGATGAGTTGGCTGATTAATGTCAGCCATGGTCCATCTTCCTATCTGGAAGTTTTCTTGACACTTTCCAAAATGTATATAGATAACATGTCAGGTGTACATTCTCCCTCTAAGCTCCCTGTTATTTTTTTAATTCTTCCAGGCTGTGAGGAACTCTGGTTTCCCCACTCAGCCTCTGAGCCCAAGAAGATTTCCACCCTTGCTGCCCACAGCTCATACCACCTGTCCTTTTAAACACCAGCAAAAGTTGCTTTCTCAGTCCAGATAACAGCAAGCAAGTCTCAATAACAGGTCAGGGTCACAGGGCTCCTTTTTCAGTGACAATAACCAGCCCCCTGGGGACTAAAAGGGTAAATGCCTTTAGGCCTTTGGCTTAGTGCAAAATTGACATCTGGCTTAATTGAGCAGTGAAGTGGTGCTGGCAGAAAAAGATTAACATGCTCAGGCTAATGGCAGCCTGGCCTTTCTTGCTGTGTCCTCTCCAGAATCCTTACAAAAGCCACCTGTGACTCATCCATACTCACAGAGATTCTTCACACCAGTAAAGGTGATGGATCTCTGCACAGCTTTACACCAAGCAGCTGCCAAGGGCCCTCTCTCTTCCCTAAGACAAGTGGATCTGTCAAGTCCCAAAGAGCATCTCATTTGTGCTGTTGCCCTGCTCAGTGAACAAAATGAGAACAATATCTCAAGCAAGTTTTATGGGCTGCACATTGTCATTGATTTAGGGGACTCATTATGAAAAAAAAAACCCACTGACCATGGCATGACCAAGGCGGTAAACTCAACCCAAGTCTTGCTGCTTTTACTGTCAGGAGGCTACCTGCAGACTTAGCAGTGTCCATAGGGGTGGCCAGTTCATCTACAGGCTGACAGGAGGACAAGAAGAAGGGACCGAAAAAGAAGTGGAGTGGGGAGCAAGAGGGGGAAAATCAGGCAAAGGTGTGTGCATAACACAAATCACACTGCCGTGAGCAGCAGGGCGGTCAGAGACTCAGGGACCTTTATGATCCAGAACCAGAAGATCTAAGCTTGAATCCCACTCTGCCCTTTTTTAGCTCTGTGACCAGAACCAAGCTTCTTACCCTCTCTGCTTCCTCCTCTGAGACATGGGAGCGATAATATCTATCTCAGGAAGTTGTTGTAGGGATTCAACCCCAGACACTGATACAACATTTACTCTCCACCTGGCAATGTTCTAAGTGCTTTGCATATTTGAGGTTCGTCCTCTCACAGCCTTCAGAATTGTGTGTGTACATTTGTTTCCTATTGCTACTGTAACAAATTACAACAATTCTTTGGGTTAAATCGAACAACACAAATTTACTACTTTATAGTTCTAGAAGAGGGAAGTCCTCAAATCAAGGTGTCAGCAGGGCCATATGCCTCATAGAAGCTCCAGAGGAGAATCCCTTCACTTGCCTTTCCAGGTTCTAAGGGGAGCAGCACTTCCATCTCTCTGGCCTCTGGTTCCAACCCTGCTGCCTCACTTGTATAAGAACCCTTGTGATTACACAGGACTCTCCCCCATAATCCAGGATAATCTCCCCATCCCAGGATCCTGACCTTAGTCACACCTGCAAAGCCCTTTTTGCCATAGCATACTCAAAGGGTCTGAGGATTAGAACAGGGACACCTTTGGGGTCAAAATTCTGTCTACCACATGTCACCATTAGCTTCATTTCACACATAGGAAAATGACAGGCAGGGAGAGTAACTTGCCCTCAGCCACACCCTCACCCATACCTTCCTGCCTCCCATGGCTCACTGTGCCTGGCACAAGGACTCACTGCACTGGGTTAATTCTCAGTGTTATGCTGTGGTTATGGTGTGGGTATTAAAGGTGGATCAGATAATAACTGCTTAAAGTCAGGGGCACTCACACCAAGGATGGGTTTGCTCTTGGGTGGCCTGTTTCCATCAACATGTACTATATATTCAGAAGGCGGTCTGGTGCGGATGAAGCATTTGGGATTTGGGGACAGCTGGGCCTGAGCAGCAGCCCCCATTCCCTAGAGTTGTGGGTCCCAGGCAGGCAGCTTGGGCTCTACCATCTCCATCTGCTGTGTGAGGCTGGGATGGCACCCACCACCAACAAGCTGGCAGGACAATGAAAGGGGATCCCACTGGTGGAACGTGTGTCCTAAACTTCAGAGGCAAAGCCCATGTTTGCAGCCATCTCTGAATCTTCTGTGTGAAAGAACCAGGGGTATCAGTGCTCTGACTCAAATACGAGGGATGCTGGGGTATCCCGCTGGGCACTTACCCACACAGGTGCCCTGCCTGTTGTAGAAGCCGTCACCACAGCTGCTCTCGCAGCTGCCACGTCTCAGCACTTGCAGGGGGTCTCTGCAGGCCAAGCAGTGCTTCTTGGTGGAGCCTGAGCAGCCAGCACAGGACGAATGACATGCTGCAGGCAAACAGAAAGCCAGTAAGTGACCCACAGCGGGGACGGCTGCTCCCTGCTGCTCTTCCATGGGCTGCAGAATCCACAGGGAGGACGCTGGTTGGCACTTCAGTTCTCCACTGCTATGTGCTTGTATAGCCTTGGGAGAAATGCACCACACCCATCCTGGGGAGGCCAAAACAATCTTCCGTGGTCAAGAGTACAACTTCAGCCAATTGTAGCCAAGGGATGGAGCAGAAATTTAGTGGCTTTTGAGGCATGGGAGTAACAGGGGTAAATATTACAATTTTCTAGACAAAGATGGACTCGATAATGAAATCAGACAGCCCTCTATCCCCTTGCTTTTTGTAATCACACAACAAAGTACGGAAAGGATATAGCCACTCCTGCCTTCTTCACACCACAGAACCAGCTGAGGAGGGACACCACTCACATTAGCTCATGGTTAGACCTTTCAGGGACCTAATGTGACTTGATATCTCTCTCTCTCTCTCTCTCTCTCTCTCTCTCTCTCTCTCTCTCTCTCTCTCTCTC